CTCACCATCCAGGGGGAGCAGAAAGGATATGTGATAGGTAGGGTTTTAATTGGGGGAAGGTGGTAGGAGAGGAGGGAAGGGAGAGGGAACTGGGATTGTCATGTAAAACAATCTTGTTTCTAATTCAAATAAAAAATCTGCAGAAAAATAAATAAATATGTGGTTCCAAAAAAAAACTGAATAAAAAAAGGGTTAACAAGAACAACAAAGAAGTCAACCTAACAAAAACTCTTACAAAACCAGAGCACTAGAGTGAAACTTTTAAATTCTAAAAGTGAGGACATAAATCAATAATAGAAAAACAACTAGTGGATTATGAAAAATACCTCCATTAATACTCCAATAGCAAAATAGTTTAGAAGACAAACTACTCAATTTTGAAAAAAAAAAGACTGAAAAATAAGGGCCTACCAAAAGATGTTTTTGAAGAAACAATATAATTGATAAAACAATTCAGAAAATTTGATGAAAAGCAAAAACCATCATCTATGTAAAAGGAAATAAAAGTGAACAAATCTTAATAAACTTCAGAAGTAAAAATTAATGTAACCCTGAAAGAAAAACAATGAGCAAGTGATGATATACATCTATCATGTAGATTATGGAAGAAAATATAATTTGGAATAACTTTTATGTAAAACAATTTTTATCTTGCTTCATATTCATTTATTTGGTAGTTCTACTAATGTCAATATCCAGGTAAAATTATGTTAAAATGCATTGAAATATTGTTTGTAGTAGCAAAAAATAGTACAAATGTATAATATAAAGAACTGGCTTGGGATAGAGAGATGGTTCAGTGGGTAAAAGTGCTTAATGGTCTTGCAGAGGACTTGGGTTTGGTTGCCAGTTCTCATATGGTGGCTAACAACTGCCTATAACTCCAGTTCCAGTAGATCTGATACCCTCTTCTGACCCCTGTGGGTTACACACACACACATTCATAAAATAAAATACTCTAATAACTAACAGCTAAGCCATGATTTATTTATTCATAAAAATTATACAATTCCTTAAAACAAGGGTTAGGATCGTTCCTAATAAAGTAACACAATTGTGGGGTACACTATTATCCCAAAGCACAGCAACAGTTGACTTTATGGCTAGACATAACTATATAATGTTATATCAAGAATGTTATATGTGTAATGTTATATGCTGTCAGGATTTAAACATATGAACAGAACAATGTCATAAGATTAAATACCACAGTCCATAATGATGAAATGTCACAACTATAATTATGGGTTTATGACTAATATACTGGCTCCAGTATATCAAAGTTAGTATAGAATTTTCAAGATGGAATTAATAACCATTTGATAATGTTTGCATAACATCTATCTTTCTTGGGGTTTTGCATGTATGCAACTCTTCATTTTCTCTGTCTCTTCTTCATTTAATCTATCCTGTTCTGCAGTTGTTCAACTGAAATCTGCAGAAGTGAAGCCTGCCTTTTATTCCTTCTGAAGTTTTCCACTTTTTGTGTATTGATTTTGAGCTCCCAGGTGATGGCCAAATAGCAAACAAATGGACTAAGATCCATAGATATTTTCTTGGTAGTTTGTTTCCTTACTTACCGTCTTTATCGGTGTCCTCAGTAACGGTGTCCTCCGACTTAGTTTTTTCTTCATCGGCAGTGTCTGAGGAGACAAATTTCTGGGAGCCTGGAGCGACTGCTGTGGTAAAAGAACACACTTTATTAGTTCATTTACACACAGTAGGATGGATCCCATCACTAACAATATCAGGTGGTGTGTTTATACCGTCATCATCCGTCAAAGACTGTAATTCATCAGAGCTTTTAAACATTTTATAATCCACGAAATCTTCAGATTCCTTTTTTACATACTGCACTTGCGATTCCTTTAAGTTCTTCTCCTCTGAAAGAAAAATGGCTGTGTTAAAGTGAGGCAGTTGGAGACAGGGAGGCAGGCGGAGTGGTTAAAAGACACCACTGAAGTTATAGGCTTGGTTTCAGTTCTGACAGTTGTGTAAGGACGGTGGGCCTGGTGGCCACTTGATCTACTTGCCTCATATTTTCCTAGGCCAAATGAAGATCATTAAATTGAAAGCATTGGATGCATTAGCTGGTGTGGACACAGGAAGTCTGCTGCCTGTTGGTGGCTAACCTCTTTCATTATACATATTTTGTGATAAAAAACTCACTATCCTCCCTTGACAAGTTTAACTTAAGTATATGTGGGGTTAGAATCCCAATGTTGGAGGTGTTAAGAAGGTTAACTTTATTGTCGGACTTAGAAGTCAGTGAATTTTAAAAGGGGTTTTAAGTTCACAGCATACAGAAGATATCTATTCATATATTCTAGTAGGGAAGGCAATGTACGAAAAACTTCAGAACTTATGTTTGCTTCCATAATTTTAGGTGAGAGGAATTACTACAGATTATAACAAACATAAAAGGACACTGTTCTACCGGAAGCCTGGCTACCTTCCTTCTGAGGTTAAGTTTCAATCTAGTGTCTTCGCTTTTGGAGAGGTTAACTAACTCAACAGTAGGGCACCCTGTTCCCCTCACTGTCTGCTCCATTGCCTATTACATGTTTTCCTCCCCCTCACTAATTTCTTCTTTCCTTCCTCCCTCTCTCCTTTCTTTTCTTTTTCTCTCAACTCTCCACTAAAATGTAAGCATCAAGAGTCTGGAAGCTTTGTGGTGTTCATTTAATGTAAAGAAAATACTCAAGTGTTCGTTGAATAAATTAATGAATTCAGGGCTAATGACTTCCCTCCTTTGGTTGTTAAGTGGTCATGAGTATTCTTTACATTTGGATTTTGCATATTGAAAGTTATACACTAAACCTATAAATTCCTTCTAGATCATTGTGGTAGTTTGAATGATTTGGCCCCCATAATCTCATAGGTAGTGGCACGATTGGGAGGTGTGACTTTGTTAGAGGAGTGGGTGTGGCCTTGTTAGAGGAAGTGTGCAACTGTGGGGGCAGGCTTTGAGCTTTCTTATGCTCACGATACTGCCCCGTGAGATGTAGTACTCTCAGCTCCAGCACCATCTCTGCCTGCACACCGCTGTGTTCCCTGCCATGACGATAATTGACTCAACCTCTGAAACTGTTAAGCGAGCACCCTCAATTAAATGTTTCCTTTATAAGAGTTGCCGTGGTCATGGTGTCTCTTCACAGCAAGGAAAGCTAACTAAGACAACCATCTAGATAGATATTAGGGTGTCAAGCCATTCCAGTTCTGGCTCTTTTGAGAAGTTCTTTAGGAAGAAGATAGATACTTTCACTGACTTGTAGGCTAAACAGAAAGAAGAAAGGAACAATATACAGTCAAGAATGTTCTTGTTTAGTGAAGGTACAATGTTGCCATGAATGAAGAGTCAATTTCTTATTGAATGGCTCCAAAATAGGAAATATCAGAAAGCCCACCCCCCAGTTTGTATAAAAGGCCAAAACAAAACACAAAAATGAAATAAGCAAAAATATGAGATCATAACAAAATCTTCTACAGCACCAAAAATTGCTATAAACTAGTAACAACTGTGAATGTTGAGAAAAGGTTCTTAATAAACAAAATTTTAGTTTTAATATATCATGACTAAGTAAGATGTATTTTAGAAATTAAAAAAAATCTTGATATTGGAGTATAGTGTTGTTGACCAAACCAACAGGTCGAAGCATGAAAATTATTAAGGTTGTTTTACTAGAGCTGACAAGACAAAAGCATTCTCAAGGAGAAACACCCAAGAGATCCTTAAAATTATACTTAGTGGGGCGGAGTGGTCACTCAGTGGCTAAGAGCACTTGAGGCCCTTCTATTACTAAGTTTGGTTCCCAGCACCCACATCAGACTGCTTGCAGCAGCCTGGAACTCCAGCCCCAGACAATGAAGTGAATCTCAGGGATTCATTGCTGTCATGTGTAGGCAACTTCTACAGCCTTTCTTTCGCTTTGGTTTCTTTATCCACTGAAATCGAAGGTAAAAGAGTTATGAAGATTAATAGGTCTTACATGCAAGGTAGCTAGCACAGCTTTATTGGGTTGTAAATATTCAATAAACAAAAAATAAAAATATTATTTTTGTAATGATATATGTTTTATCAGGAAAAGCGTATCAGAACTGACACACAAAAATCCTTGTGATATAACATGGTGCTGCCAGAGGTTCTAGGAAATTCAGTGGCAGCAACTGGGTCTAGTCTAAAATTACTGGGATTGATCTCCAAGTTTGGATCCAGATCTTTAAATGTGAAAAAGATCCACAGCAGTACTGAATGAAGGCTATTCTGTTACAACAGACATGTGGCTCATGCATGTGATCCCAGGGCTCAACAGGCAGAGGAGGAGGACTGAAAAGTCAGGCTTAAGATCAGCCTGGACTACGAAGTTCCAGGCCAGATGTATATATGTGTGCATAGATATGTATGTGCACGTGTCCAAGTATATGTATGTAAGAAAAGCAGACAACAGCTAGAGATATCAATTCTACCAAACCCCTCTATGAATTACAAAAGTAGTCATGAAATTAGAACTCTCATTTCCTAGAGAAAAATAAACGAATAAACGCCATGTTTGTGATTATATTAAAATATCCTGAGCAGTGAGTGACAGGTCAGGAGCTGGGCTTTGGGGAGGAGGGGTCACATGGCCTCTTTGCAGTCACTGGTGTTATCTGTCAATTTGCAGAGTTGTGGTTATTCGACATTCACACTGCACCAGTGTCACTGAATGTAGTATTTTCCCGACAGAAAGATTTAGTTATACCAAGGCTGGCAAACTGTCTAAAACAACAAACATCCTAGGAGTCAGGTGAAGTTTTGGTTTTATTGCCAATGTGGATTAAGTCACAAAATTGCTTGGCCTCTGCTCAGTAGATAGACCCGTGAAGAAATACAGTCTTTAAACATCCACATTTACAAGCACCGTTTCTTAAAGTTACAGAAAGCAACTCTCTGGGTTCTGAGCCAGTGTCTTTTCATTCCTTCAACCACTCACTGGGAGACTAAATGTGCAATTCTCTAAAATGAACAGACTAACATTCCCGACCTCAGGCAGCCAAGCTCAGCCGTTCACCGAGACACACACAGACTGAGACAGGAACACATTAACCTTGCTCCTGAGACACACACAGACTGAGACAGGGACACATCCACCTTGCTCCCTCGTTTGCATCTCCAGCAGCAGCATCCTGTCTTTCACAGTTTTGATAGCTGTATTGGTGGCCTCAGTTACGGTGTCTCTAATCAGTTTTTCACGGGCGTCATCAAAACGTGGCTGAATAAGTTTAGCATAGTCAATCACCTGCAGAAATATTCAATAAAATTCGAGTAATCACAAGGCACTGCCAATAAAAACACATTTCCCACTTAGCTCTCTGTCAACCTACCTACCTACCTATCTATTTACCTGTCTTCCAAAAATACAGACTACTTGAGGCATCTTTGAAATTGTGTACAGGATCCACTGATTTTTTTTGAAATCTATTTTATTTTTAATTTTTAAAAATTTATTTTTATTATTTCTAGTTATGTATATGTAAGTGGGGGATGAGTGTGTACAGGAGTACAGGCACCTGCAAAGGTGAGTGGGCTCAGCTCCCCTGAGAGCTGGAGTTACAGATGGTGGGGGTGCTGGGAATGAATTTGTCCTTTCTTTGTCCCCAGCTCTCATTCATAGCTCTTGGCATATTTTGTGCTCAGTCACTATAGATCAGTTGCATCTTTTCTAGAATTTCTTATAAATCATACAGAATGCAAGCTGTTTCAGGATTTCTCCCCTAGAAGAGTGCTTTTGTGATCCATCAGTTTGTCTTTTCATTGCTCAGCACTACTCTGTTATGAATACACTGATTTTTCATTCATTCACCCTCGGAAGGGTATTGGGTGTGTCCAGGCCTGGGATCTTAGAGATAAAGCAGCAGTTAACATTTACAAAAAACCTCTTTGTGGGTGTTTTCATTACTTAGACCACACCCTAGTGTTACATTTGACTTTTGGAAAACATGGAAGTTGCATTTTCTTGGCAGCTTCGCTAACACATGACTTTATGAACCTTTTCAATTTTAGCCATGCAAGTGGATATGAAGATATTTCTCATTGTAGTTTGAATCTAGATTTTCCTAATCACTGAAAAATTTTAACCTCTTCTTTGTTGAGGGCTGGGCTGACCGAAGGCTTTTCCAGAGGCCCTGATGTATGGAGAGGGAACATAATCCCTTGTCTAAAACCAGAAGTACTCTTGGCGGAGCTGGTAATGGCCTGGCATCAGGGCCTTGGGGAAGCCGCAGCTTGGGATCCTGAGAACACAACTCCTCCCCCTGTAGGAGGCTGTGCTTGGCAGTTCCAAGGCTGCTGTGTGCTTGGTCTCTGATGCCCTTGAGATACCCAGTGTTCCCCTTGTACCACACTGTTTGAGGTGCTTCCTGTTGACTCTGTCTCACTATGTGATAACTTTCTGCTGACTTAGTGCCATTTCTCCCCTAGAAATACTACATCATCAGACTCTGCATGTAGTCAGCTTGCCATGAGACAGCTTGTGCAAGACCTCCCGATCTCAAACTTACCTACCACCTTATCTTCTGACCTTCTGACCTCCAGGTCCTCTCTCTCAGGATGATCTCCTAGTCCAGGTCACCCCTGTGTGCTTATTTTGCACTCACTGTTTTCTGCATAAGCATATGTTCAACCTTTGCCTGTTTCAAATATTTGGGTTAGAATTCTCTGGACATTCTAGTGGTTAACTCGTGAGGTGGATGTTAGACAGTGGATCTTAGAAGGAGCTTCATCTGTGCCTTTTAACTGTAACCAGTACTTGCAGATCCTCAGACTCCATTCCTCTTCTTACTGTGTTGCTTTATTCTGTGGCAAAACACTTATCTCTACATCATATTTTAATGGCTACCCAGAGTTGTATTAGATGAATAAGTCACAACATAAAGTATGAATAGTATGTATTTAGTACAGATTTTTGGGTGAGTATGTGTACTGCATATGTGTGTATGAGCTATTTGGATTGCACACACATGCATGTAGCTCTGAGAGCCAGTGTGTGTGTGTGTGTGTGTCCCATGCACTGCGTGTGACTGTGTGTGTGGAGGCCAGAGGTCAATGTCAGGTATCCCTTTCACTTGCCCTCCACCTCATTTTTGAGACAAGTTCTCTCACTGAAGTCAAAGCTTACCGATTTGGATAGGCTGGCAGGCTAGTGAGCCCAGGGACCGGCTTGGCTCTGCCTCTCTGTTTCTGAGGTTACAGATGTGCTGCCATGCCTGGATTTTCACAGGGGGGCTGCAGATCCAAATTTGCATTTTCATGTTTGTATGTCAAGTGCTTCACTGAACAAAGCATCTCTCTAGTCCCATGATGCAGATGTTTGTTTTTTCTTTTTTTAAAATATATATTTAGGTAGAAGCTCAGCTATGATGAGTATTACAGTCTGTGTATCTTCAATTCCAAATACAAAATTTCTTTTCTAAATTTTTTTATCCATTTATTTTATGGGTATTGGTGTTTTTGCCTGCATGTATGTCTGTGAATCCTGTATATGCATAGTGCAGCGTCAGACTCCCTGACACTGGAACTCCAGATGGTTGTGCGTCATGTGGGTGCTGGAAATGGAACTTAGGTCCTTCAGGAGAACAGTCAGTTCTCATAACCACTGAATCCTATCTCTAGCCCTGTGACAGTTTCCTTAGAAAAATTCGTAAACTAGATTTGAAATTCAAAGGCTCAGCATGGATTATAGGCTAGATTTCCAATGACTGATGGTTACATTCTTCTCAACAGTTCCAGACTGTAGTTTCCCTGTCCTGGCTGCACATCAGTATTTGGTGTTAATAGCAGAATTTTTTTTCTTTTTTCTCTTGCTTTTATTAGCACATATCAATTATATATATGCTATTTTCATACATGTTCACCCTATCACTTTTTACTGCCCCCCACACTCTTTTGACCCCTCCCTCTTTCCAACTAGTCCTCTTTTGCTTTCATGTAATCTTTAAAATGTACTGATGCTATTAATATAACATATCTTTTGTGTCTTAGCATCTGTGCTTTATCAGGGATGTGATATCTTTTTTTTCCTAGTATTTAATGGCTATTTATATGCATTGCCCATTTGATATTTTTTCTCACTGAGGCTTCTTCTGATATTGATTTATCTGTTCACATTTTAAAATACCCCTTTGTTTGGCATGTGTGATGGTTTAAAAATATTCCACACAGCCTTTGATGTGTGTCTGCAGCTTTGAGTAAGAGTGGCCTCCCACAGGCTCATAGATTTGAGTGCTTGGTCACCAGGGAGTGACACTATTTGAAAGGATTAGGAGGTGTGGCCTTGTTAGAGGAATTGTGTCTCTGGAGCTGGGCTTTGAGATTTCAAAAGCCCAAGTCAGGCCCAGTCTCTCTCTCTCTCTCTCTCTCTCTCTCCCCCTGTGGGCGGATCAGGATGTAGCTCTCAGCTACTTCTTCCACACCGGGCTGTGTCTGCCTCCCTGCCACCATGCTCCATGCCATGATGACAATGAACTAAATCTCTGAAACTCTAAGCCAGCCCCAATTAGATGGTTTCTTTTATAAGAGTTGTCATGGAGCCGGGCGTTAGTGGTGCACACCTTTAATCCCAGCACTTGGGAGGCAGAGGCAGGTGTATCTCTGTGAGTTCGAGACCAGCCTGGTCTAGAAGAGTGAGTTCTAGGACAGCCTCCAAAGCCACAGAGAAACTCTGTCTCGGAAAAAAAAAAA